TTTTTTTCAATCATTCTTTGTGAATTGCTAATCCAGTTGTGGTCGTTTTGTGATACTTGTTCCAAACTCAAAATGTCATCAGCTATCTTCTACCCAGCGCTAACTTTCCTCGTCCTTCTTTTTGTTATTTTTGTATGTACAGTTGAGAGCGGTCACTTCAACTTGACCATTCTTCACAACAATGACTTTCATGTGCACTATCTGCCTATGAGAGAGGTGGACTATGTCGAGTGCGACATTGCCGAGGCAAAAAACTCCACCTACTGTATAGCCGGCATCGCCAGGAACGTCGCTCTGGTAAGCAAAATAGTTTACACATTTAGACAACAAACCATACAAGTTTTTTGCTGTTGTAATAAACACAGGTTAAAAGCCTCCGAAAACGTATCAACAATACACTGTTCCTCAATGCGGGCGACCACTTTGCGGGCAACTATTGGTACACACTGCTGCGCTCGAGTTTGGTTGCCCAAATGGTCAGTTTGCTGAGGCACGACGTGATGGCCATTGGCAATCACGAGTTTGACGACGGACCGGAAGAGCTGGAGAACTTTATCCGGCAAGTGAAGCGGTCTGACCCGAGACTGAACATTCTTTCGGCAAACACTGAAGTCGCCGGCGACTCGGTGCTCGCCGGACTGATTGGCCGATCGGTGGTGAAAGTGATCGCTTGCGGCGTAAAGNTGAGGCACGACGTGATGGCCATTGGCAATCACGAGTTTGACGACGGACCGGAAGAGCTGGACAACTTTATCCGGCAAGTGAAGCGGTCTGACCCGGGACTGAACATTCTTTCGGCAAACACTGAAGTCGCCGGCGACTCGGTGCTCGCCGGACTGATTGGCCGATCGGTGGTGAAAGTGATGGCTTGCGGCGTAAAAGTGGCCATCATCGGCTACACCACACCGGACACCATGTTCCTTGCCAAGCCAGGCAACAAAGTGGTGATAGGAGATGAGGTGCAGGCAATTCAAAGTGAGATTAATCGACTGAAAGTGTTGCACCCCTCGCTGAACATCTTCATCGCCGTCGGTCATTCGGGCTACGAGCGAGACCTGCAGATTGCAGCCGCCATTGCCGACCTGGACGTGGTGGTGGGCGGACACACCGACACCTTTCTCTTCACCGGCGGAACACCGCCGTCCACTGAAGTGCCTGAAGGCGAGTACCCTACTGTGGTGCGTCACCAACAGAGTGGAGACCAGACGCTGGTGGTGCAGGCCTTCGCCTATGGAAAGTACCTAGGCAAACTGGATCTGGTCTTTGACAGCCGAGGACGTGTCGTTCAGCACGGGGGCCAGCCAATACTGGTGAGCCACTCAATGGAGGAAGACGGTGACACAAAGCGGCTGCTGGTCGAGCTGAATGATCAGCTTAACAGCAATCTTGGTCGGATTGGCTACACTGAAGTGGACCTGGTGCAGAAGCGCTGTCGAGCGGAGCAGTGCAACATTGGCAATCTGATTGCTGATGCACTGGCCGACTACTCGGCTGAAAGACTGCACTTCATCAAGCAGAAGAGTTTTTCCGGTAGTAAAGGAGGGAAAGGCTGCTCTGAACAGCCGCCATTGGCCATCATCAACAGTGGCACCATTCGCGGTGGCATTCGCTCCGGGGTGATCAGCTACAAAAGCGTCCTCTCGGCCTTGCCCATTGGCAATCAGCAAGGACTGATGAGCATCAATGGCAGTGACTTGCTGGCACTCTTTGAAACTTCTGCCAGTCAGCACCGGCAGGGTGGCTTCCTCCAGGTTTCATCCTGCTTTGAGGTGCACTACAGGCGATCAGGCAACAACAGCAAACTGGAGCTAGAAAGGGTTCGCATTCGGTGCAATGTCGCTGCTGATGGCAGTGGTGGTGATGGCAGTTGGACTGCAGTGGACCGACAGTCAACTTACCATGTGGTGGTCAGTGAGTTCACCGTCAGAGGTGGTGATGGCTACTCAGTGTTGAAGGGCGTCAACTGGACGCACTATCACATCAGCGATTCAGACGTTCTTGCAAAGTACATCAGGCGGGTGGACAATGCAACCACCGTTCNACTGCAGTGGACCGACAGTCAACTTACCATGTGGTGGTCAGTGAGTTCACCGTCAGAGGTGGTGATGGCTACTCAGTGTTGAAGGGCGTCAACTGGACGCACTACCACATCAGCGATTCAGACGTTCTTGCAAAGTACATCAGGAGGGTGGACAATGCAACCTCCGTTCTTGATGGACGGCTGATCATTCACTAGGTAGAATTTTCCAATTGATGGACGGCTGATCATTCACTAGGTAGAATTTTCCAATTGATTAGA